TTTTTAATAATTACTTTTCCTCAATCGGTAACAATCTCGCCGAAAATATCCCCCCATCAAACAAAAATTACACTGACTTTTTAGGCCCCGCTAATCCGAATTCTATTTTTTTCTTTCCGACAAATAGACAAGAAGTCCATAATATCGTCTCAAATCTACAAAATAAAACAAGTTCTGGCTTCGATGGAATTAGTAATGTTATTTTGAAAGCCATTATTCCTTTTATTGTCGACCCATTAGTCCATATATTCAATTTATCATTACTGCATGGTGAATTTCCTGATTCCATGAAACTAGCAAAAATTATTCCCCTATTCAAAAAAGGTGATAAACTTGAAATAGGTAATTACAGGCCAATCTCCTTGTTATCTTCATTTTCCAAAATCTTGGAAAAAATAGTATTAACTCGAATGATTGCTTTCCTGAAGAAATATGATATTTTATCCAACTTTCAGTTTGGTTTCAGGGAAAAACATAGTACTGTTCATGCTTTAATGTCTTTTGTTGAAAAAATTGCCCATTCAATTGACTCGTCTTCTCACACAGTTGGTATTTTCCTGGACTTCTCCAAGGCCTTTGATACGATAAATCACGAAATTTTACTTTACAAACTCGCCAATATTGGTGTCCGTGGAAAGGCCTTGGAGTGGTTCAGGAGCTACCTTTCTAACAGAAGACAATTTGTGTTTTTAAATGAGCAGGCATCTGATTTTAAAAATATTACTTGTGGTGTTCCGCAAGGGAGTCTTTTAGGCCCGCTATTGTTTATTATTTATATAAATGATTTTCATAAATCATCCAATGCTATGTCATTCATTTTATTTGCTGATGATACTAATTTATTTTTTTCACACAGTGATCCAAATATTATTGTTGATGTAATTAACGCAGAGTTGCGAAAAATATTAGAATGGATTAGAGCTAATAAATTGTCATTGAATCTCTTGAAGACGAACTACATATTGTTCAGTAACTCCTTAACATCATTACCCACTGATATTATTCTTGACAACACCCCTCTTGAGCAAGTTTCTCATACAAAATTTTTAGGTGTTGTGGTTGATAGTAAACTATCCTGGAAACTCCACGTTGAAAATATTTGTAAAACTATATCTCGCAATGTTGGTATCATTAACAGACTTAAATCACACCTTCCACAACGATCTTTGCTTATGCTTTATTCTTCTCTTATTTTACCATACTTAAATTATGGACTTCTGCTTTGGGGAAACACGTACCAAACATTGGTGGAAAAAGTTTTATTACTACAAAAGAAAGTCATTCGTATCATATGTAATGCTCCTTTTCTTGCCCATACGGATCCGCTGTTCCTCGAACATAATATCCTAAAAATTAACGATCTATACTTATTACATCTAGGTGAATTTATGTATAAATTCAATTCTGATACTCTTCCATTTGCGTTTCACGATATGTTTAAACAAAATCGTACATTTCATAAATATCCCACAAGACAGTCAGAAGAATTTCATTTACCTTTTTTGAGAACATTTTTCGCACAAAAAACATTCATCTTTGAAGGCCCTAAATTTTGGAATACTTTGCGTGTTGATTTGAAAAACTCCCCTTCTCTCTCAGTCTTTAAAAGAAATCTAAAGAAATCTTTACTGGCCCCGTACAAAACCTAGTTCCTTGTTATATTGCCTGTGTATATTATATGCAGGAATTTTCATGATTATTACTATTGTCATTATTTTAATTATGATCATTATTGTTGAGATTGTATTATGTTCTCCAGAGAACTCGTCACCACTCGTTTACCAAGTACTTCCTCTCATTGAACTGTTCTTCTTTTTTTGAAAATTTGATCTTGCGCGCAACCTTCATTCTGTTTGTTATCACCTTTCATCTATTTCTGTAGTCCACATGCAAACCTTTTCTCTTTACTGTATCCCTTCTCCTCTCACACTCTCCTTGTTTTCTTTGTACATTGTTCGTGTTATGCGTATTGTTTTGTTTCTCCTTTTGTGTCCTCTCTGTTGGCAATTATCCTTATTTTACTCATGTAACTTACTATTATTGAATACTACCACCCGAGGGGTCCACGATTTACAAGCATCGCTTCACAGTGGACCTCTCCGTTTCCAGCTTAACATTAATAAATTATTTTAAGCAGCAATATTTCTTGATATTCAAATATGTAATTCTGTTAAATTCATATTTTGTATTGCATGGTTACTACTTTGATTGTTTATTGTAATGATATTTCTATGAATACTGTATTCTTTTGCTGGAAATGAGAAAAAATAAAATTGAAATTGAAATTGAATATAATTCACCCTTCTCCCAGTAGACACTCCTAATTATGAATTATGACAATCCTGATATGAACCAGCAAGCAAGAGACAAGAAGTAAAATGACCATGGTGCAAGACCCGGAAGCTGGGACACCCCCCCCCCCCCGGCCCCCTCCCAGAGGCGGCGCGCCCGCCGGGGGGGGGGCAGGGAGCACAGTGCCCTCTCACTTTTTCAAGCACTCCAAAAGTGCCCCTTTTTACATTAAGTGCCTACTTTTCCTGTCTCCATAACATTCACCCCTAATTCAAAGCGACTTAGGGCCCATTTTTCTTTAATTTTCCCAAGGCTAGAGCTCGCTCGCATTTAAAGTTCTGGTTCTGGTTTTGGATGAGTACTCCAACAAAGCGGGATCCCACATCGCGTCAGAGGGTTGAACTGTTGGAGTTATTTCCTTTTGGTGTTGTTGGTGAAAAAGTCGCAGAGCCTTATTTTATAAATAGGCCTATGTAAGTTGTTATAATAATTTATTTTTAATTCAGTCTTTCTCCATTAGATAGTGCTTAAAACTCATCAGAGTTTTTTTTTTTTTTTGGGGGGGGGGGGGGGGGTCCTCTTTATAAGATGTAATATTTCGCAACTCCACGTCACAAATCTAAACATTTTTGCTCGCTCCATCCAAGGCTTGGATCTGTCCCGGCATCTTAAACTTAAATTCAAAGATAATATGTGTCCTGGTTATAATGTTCTTTACAATGACCAACAAATGACATAAAAGAACTTTTCAGTCTTTCTTCATTAGATAGGTTCAAGGTTCAAGGTTCAAGGGTCAACGTTCAAGGTTCATTTTATTTCTTTCTTTCACAACATTTTTACATATAATAATAGAACAAAAAACAGCATAAGAAAAAACAATTTAAGTACAATTTTAAGTCGATATATAATCCAAATGAAAGAAAGTGGAGACCTTAGAAAAGCTGGGCTTGTAAGGGCAAGGTCCCCGTATAAAATAATCCATCAATGTAAAAATGTTTCAAAGTTATCAAAACTACACATGATTAAATATGGGGGAAATATTTACAAAAGGGATAGCTTGAAATTTGAAAAGGAGAGGATGAAAATATATACAAAGGAATCGAGAGGGAAAAAGCAAACTAGAACGAGAAAAACAACAAAACAGAGTAAAACAGAGAAAGAAGAAAGTTATATGTATATAGGGGAAAATGGTATTTGGTGTAAAGAAAAAGAAAAATAGAAGAGAGGAGGGGGGTGGGGGGAGAGAGAGAGAATGTGAAATGCTGACATTTATATTGAATAGTCAAACATAACAAGAACAAAAAGATAATGCACGTTATCAATAACAATTGACAAATTATTACCTAATATCATTTCTGGTGATATAATTTTTACGTTAATTGTCGACATAGTTACTCAATAAATGTAATTTCAATTTGCGTTTAAAAACAAAGACACTGACAGATCTAGTTACATTGATAGGAAGTGAGTTCCAAAATTTGGGACCAGTACAAGCCAGCGTCTTCAGAGCAAAAGCAGTTCTGGAATATGAAGTGCAGTTGCCTGCCTTGTATTATAGCTATGAATTTGATTGTTCTTTCGAAATATTTGTACTAACGCATTTGGGAGAGTGCCATTTTCAAAACCATACATAATTGCGCCTAACTGTATAAAGTAAATGTCTTCCCGAAGATACGAAGGCAGTTTCTTCGGGAGTACTGCTCCTGGGCATTAAGCTCTCTCTTCAGCAACTTAATTTGCTCATCTTTTCGGGATGAAGCAGCAACCAAGGTCTCCAGCTTCTTGCTAGCACTCTGGGCACCAGTTTGCAGATCCATGATCTTAGCCTCCTGGTGGTCAATGGCCTCCCTCAGATCGCACTCGCTCTTGTGGGCCTTTTGCTCCATAGCAATAAGCCGTGCCTCCTGCCTGTCGATGGTCACCTGTATCTCGGTCAACCGGCTATCAATGTGGTTTTTCACTAGGTCAATAAACCTGTCATCACCGACAATATCAGCCAAGACAGATTGGACAAGTTGTGCTGCATCCACCTTGGAGCCACGCGTGTTGTTAGCCATATGTTGGGCATTGGTACAGAAAGCGTTTCACCAATCAGCAATTACAGAACAAGATCATAAGATGACAAGACACAATCTAAAGTGTATAGCAAATGTTAATCTTAGAGCACTGCTGGAGTAGGAAAGCTGTGATAAATTAAGATATTTGTGTCCCGAAAGATATTTCCTCTAGATACTCGTAGTACGAATCAAACAGTGGTCATTATTTTGGCATAGTATGCCGTTATTGCCAAGTAACACAGAAGTGAGTGAATGGGACTGTAGTATAGGACAACCACATGACCGGAGTCTCTACTTACTGCCAAAGAGTCAAGATATCATTGAAGTAATTCAACAAAATTCTTCATAGCATTGTCTGGCAGGTGCTAAATGTTCCTTTAAAAAAAGCCACTACACGAGAAAGGAGAGGAAGATGCGGCACAGACAGAGCTGGCATCGACGAGCAACAATAGTATTCCTATTATGCTGTATGCAGTTGATAGAAACCTTCCTGATAATGCATAAGACTCATCAGAGTTTGTGTTTTGTCCTCTTTATAAGATGTAATATTTCGCATCTCGACCTCAAAAGTCTTAAAACTTTTGCTCGCTCCCTTTCTCGCTCGAACGTTAATATTCAGACCATCACACTAAACTGCAAAGTATGTAGCTTTTGTAAGATTTAGAAAGTTTTCTGTCATGACGTCGGTTCAGATTAACCATAATTTCATTTGGTCGTAAGAGGGCGTTTGTAGTTCGCCAGCCTAAAAGTCACGAAATTTGAAATGTTTTGTGGACAGTGATTCCATCAGTAATCCCCGACAATCGAGACAAGCCCAATGTTGTAAGTACTATAAAGCTGTTATTTGTATAAATCAATCTTTAATTGTTTGTATGAGGCCAAAAATGGCACAAGATATAAATCTAGTTTTCTGTAATTTTAAGATGAAAAGTACGTTAAAATGTTGTCTGTGCATGTAGCACCACATATAGACAAACGTAGGATAACGTGTGTGAATGCACAATTTGTGCATACATCAGTTTGTGTTGAGGATAATCTAGATTTGTGTGTAATGAGTGATGATAATTGACATGAAACAAAGAGTATGAATTGTTTTCCTTGGTTATAAAGAATGTCAAGGGTGTAGAAGCAAATAGGAATTTAGTTCAGGAATCAAGTAAAGAGTGTAAGATAGAGGCAGGAAATAAGGCTGGTCGAGGGTTTATTTGTGTATGACGTTAACCTACAAGATAGAGAGGTATGATTTGTAAGGGTTATATTTGTAAACAAAGGTAGAATTTGAGACAGTTCATTAGAATAAGATAAATGAGGCAGTTATACAGTTTGTGTTTGCACAAGTGAGCTTTACTCACATAGTTTATTCTTGAAGGTTTTCTTTACTCAGTTATGCATATTAAGGTCATTTATGGCAAGCTAGTTGTGCGATACAATAGATGTTTGTTTATTCATGTGAATTTGTACACATGCTTATGATTGCTTGTTTGTTTTATTGATATTACAGATGAACTGCATTTTATGCACGTATCTCAACTTGGATGTCGTCGTCCTTTCTTTAAGCCTACTGTTGGGGTCACTTCAGCAGAATTTAACGTCACATAAAGTTCATAACAGCTTTAGCATTCGTCACCATGAGTCAAGTAGGTGTTGATGATGTCAATCCAGAGGATTCTGCAAGTCAGGTTGGGAAGAGTTCCACCACGTCATCTGGACTTAGGACCAGGGCCAAGAGGGCTGCAATAGCAGCAGAATTAGCAGTTCTTCAGGAAGAACAAGAGATAGAACTCGAAGAAATACGCCTTAAGCAAAGGAAGGCTAAGTTACTCTTACGTGCCAAGCTCAGCGCAGCAGAGGCAGAAGAAGACGTGTATGAGCAACACAGGAGTGGCAGTAAGGTGTCGAGTATAGGGAATAGGAGTTCCAGTCAGCAGAATGTCAAGCAGGTGCATGAAAGTGCAGAGCATGCTACGGAACATCATCATCATGTCAGCAATCATGATGTCAAGGAACCTGCGCTCCTACAAGAGACTATTCCTTTTCCAGCTCAGCAAATGGCTTCATCTCCCATTTCAGGTCAAGCTTATCAACCACGAGACGACCGAGAATTTTATCTGCAGACCCAAGTTCAGCAACAACGATGGTTGGAAGCTATCAGTCTGGCTAATGTAGAGATGATGAAGTTTGATGGGAGTCCTTTGCACTTCCATGAATTTATGATGTCGTTCGACAACTTAATTGGTCGATCTTCACTCGATAGTGGGACAAAACTTATGAAGTTATATCATTGCTGTGAAGGAGAAGTTAAAGGCATCATACAGTGCTGTATGGTCATGGAACCACTGTATGGGTACCAACGAGCCAGAGAGCTGTTGGTGGAACGCTTTGGCAGCAAGTACAAGATAGGAGAAGCCTGGATCAAACGCATAACCACTGGTCCAATCTGCCATGCGAATGACCGGAAGGGGCTGCAGAAGTTTGCAGATGAGTTGAAGATCAGCATGGAAACTCTTCGAGCAATGGATCTACTGCAGGAAATTAGTAGCCAGAGAGAGTTGCTGAAGGTGGCTGAGAGACTTCCATATTACCTTAAAGGTAGATGGTTAAAGTTGGTGAGAGACATCAGACAGCAGGAGCGTTCTCCCGATATCTCGGACATGGCAAGGTTTGTCTCCAACGCTGCTGAGGAAGCCAATGATCCTGTCTTTGGAGATCTGACAGCAACAACTAAAAGAGTTGAAACTTCAAACCCAGCTTTCAACAAGAAGAGTACAAGAAGTAACTACATGTACGCTACAGAGGTAACAGAAGTAGCAGTCAACCTGAAGTGCCTGAAGTGTAGGCAAGAACATTCCTTGTTTGGGTGCGACAGTTTTAAATCCATGGCACCCGAGATGAGATTTCAGTTTGCTCAGGACAACAGACTATGTTTCAACTGCCTGCAATCTGGCCACACCAGTAGGTTTTGCAGATTGAATAGAAGATGCTCAGTACAAGGATGCCAGAGAAAACACACAAAATTTCTCCATTTTGCACAGGATGCATCTTCATCTGCAGGAAGGATGACAACGACACAGGCTCCAGTTGAAACCCAGAACAACGAAGTCCATCAAGTCCAGAATGGGTTCGTTAAGAAGTGTGTCACAGGGGCCGGAAGGTGTGTGCTTCCCATTGTTCCAGTGAGGGTTAGAGCTCAAGGAGAGAATGTATTTGTGAATACATATGCACTGTTGGATTCTGGTTCAACCAGTACATTTTGTACAGCCACTTTGGCCAGAGAACTCAATGCTACTGGAAGGAAGCAAAGTTTAAGCCTGACAACACTGGAGAAGCGTAATAGCCCCATAGAGACCTCAGTGATTAGTCTGATTGCTGACACGGGACCAGATACAGACTGTGTGAAGCTACCCTGTGTGTATACCAGAGACGCCATTAATATCAGAGACACACACATTGCCAATGTGGATGACATTTCAGGATATCATCACTTAGAAGGAATCAACCTCCCGATCATTGAACGACATGAAGTTGGACTGTTGATAGGGCAGGATTCACCTGAAGCCTTGATACCTATCGAGGTGAGACGAGGACAGCATGGCCCTTATGCTGTTAGGACCAAATTGGGTTGGTCAGTGAGTGGACCTGTAGGTTCCAGTTCAGATGGTGTACCCAAAGCTACATCTAGCTTCATTGACAGTAATGATAGACTGGAGGAACAAGTCAGCCAATTCTGGAAGATCGAAGCTACAGATGTGCTTAAGAAAGACAAGGCAATGTCAGTCAATGACAAGAAGGTAATGGAAATATGGGAGAGAGACATCCAGCGGGAAGGTGCACATTTCCAACTACCGGTGCCCTTCAGAAGGAGACCACCTAACTTGCCTGATAACAAGTGGAGTGCAGAACAGCGTTTGAAATCGTTGGCAAGGAGATTGCAAAGAGATCAAGCAATGTATGTGAAATACAAACAGGGCATAGAGGATCTCCTCAGGAAAGGCTATGCAGAGGAAGTTAGTGAGGAGACTAGGCAACCCAAGGACACCCCTGTTTGGTATTTGCCCCACCATCCAGTCTTGAATCCCCAAAAACCAGACAAGATGCGAATCGTGTTCGATTGTGCGGCCAAGCACCAAGGGGTATCTTTGAATGATGCAGTGTTACAGGGGCCGGACCTTATCAACAATTTGATGGGAGTTTTGCTTAGATTCCGCCAGCAACCAGTAGCACTCATGTCAGATATAGAGGCAATGTTCCACCAAGTGAGGGTACCTCCAGAAGATCGAGACGTGTTGAGATTCTTGTGGTGGAAGGACGGAGACTTCAACAAGGAACCGCTGGTCTACCGGATGTGCATCCACCTCTTCGGAGGTACGTGGAGCCCAAGTGTGTGCAGCCATGCACTTCGTCAGACAGCAAGAAACGGTGATGGTAATGGTAAAGTGGAAGCATCTAAGGCCATTCTCGAGAACTTCTATGTGGACGACTGCCTGGTGTCAGTTGAGAATGAAGAAACAGCGGTGAAACTTGCTGCGGACTTGATGGTCTTGCTCAGTGAAGGAGGCTTCAGATTAACCAAATGGGTCAGTAACAACCCATTTGTCCTGCAATCCATACCAGAAGAAGAGAGAGCTAAAGATGTGAGGGGTCCGGATCTCAATCATGATGCTCTTCCAGTCGAGAGAGCACTTGGAATCAGCTGGGATGTAGAAACTGATTGTTTGCTGTACAAATTTAGACCCAAGGACAAACCCCAAACCAGGAGGGGTATCTTGAGTGTTGTATCTTCCATCTACGACCCTCTCGGTTACGCCAGTCCTTTCATCCTAAAGGCTAAGATGATCTTGCAGGAACTAACCAGACTTAAACTTGCATGGGATGAGGAGATTCCAAGCAAGGAAATAGAGAGATGGAATGAATGGTTACAGGAACTACCCAAGATGACTGAATTCCAGGTCAACAGATGCATCAAACCACACGACTTTGGCAAGGTAGCAGAGTATAAGCTACATCACTTTGCAGATGCTTCAGAGAAAGCCTATGGAGTCGTTTCCTACCTGCGGATGAAGGATGTTGAGGGTCAGGTGCACTGCAGCATACTATTTGCAAGGTCACGTCTTGCACCCCTGAAGAGGATGACAATCCCACGGCTTGAACTGATGGCGGCTACACTCTCTGTCACTATAGACAGTATGATACAACGGGAACTGGATCTGCCGCTCCAAGAGTCAGTGTTTTGGACTGACAGTTCAATAGTACTTCATTATGTGAAGAATGAGGATAAACGTTTCCATACGTTTGTAGCAAACAGAATTACAACCATTCATGAGGGATCTGAACCAAGGCAGTGGCGACATGTTAACACTGATGTCAGTCCAGCCGATGATGCCTCGCGTGGACTGACAGCTGAGGAATTGACTGGACGATGGAAAGAAGGGCCAAAATTTTTGTGGTCAGAAGAATGCGATTGGCCTAAAAGCTTGACAGTGAATGAGTCTAGCTTAGAGCATGACCCAGAGGTAAAGCAAGACAAGACTGGAGTGTTTGCTGCAGCCGAATCTGAAGTCAAGGCGACAGATAGACTCCTTGAAAGTTACTCGTCCTGGTTCCGGCTGAAGAAAGGTATTGCATGGATCCTGAAGGTCAAGGAGTGCTTGAGAAGAAAGGCACGCAAAGATATGAATTTACTGGATATGAAGCAGCCAGTAACAGTTGATGAGATGACTGTAGCTGAAGAAGCAATTGTCAGATACGTTCAGCAACAGACCTATGCTGAGGAGTACAGAGTCTTACAGCAAAATAAGACTACACAACGGTCACCCACTCGAATAGCAAAATCCAGCCCACTATCTAAATTGAGCGTGAAACTCACAGACGAAGGATTGATATGTGTTGGAGGAAGACTACACAATGCACCACTAGAAGAGCAGACAAAACACCCAGTGATTTTGCCTTCCAAGCATCATGTAGTACAGCTTTTGGTGAGACATTACCACATTATGTGTGGTCACTCAGGGAAGGAGTATGTGCTATCCCTACTCAGACAACGATTTTGGATAATCAGAGGGAGGTTAGCAGTTCGTCATGTACTACACAAGTGTTTCACATGTAAACGTCAACGTGCAAAACCAGTGGAACAGAAGATGGCAGATTTGCCGGCAGATAGAGTGGTACCAGAAAAACCTCCATTCAGTAACGTGGGAGTTGACTGCTTTGGCCCATACATGGTGAGACAAGGAAGGAGCTCTGTGAAGAGATATGGATGTATATTCACTTGTCTGGTTATAAGAGCAATACACATAGAGGTACTGCATTCATTGGAGACGGATTCATTTCTGAATGCCCTTCAGAGATTTATTTCACGCAGAGGACAACCAGAGATTATCAGATCCGACAATGGTACAAATTTCATAGGTGCTGAACGTGAACTGAGGGAGGGATTGAAACGATGGAACCAGGAGAAGATCCACGATAATCTCCTTCAACAAGGAATTGATTGGAAATTCAATCCACCGAGAGCATCCCATATGGGTGGATCATGGGAAAGACAAATCAGAACTACGAGAAAGGTCTTGAATGCAGTCATGAAGCAGCAGGTTCTGAATGATGAGGGCTTAACGACTCTTATGTGTCTAGTAGAGGCAATTATCAATGGGCGTCCACTCACCATAACATCTGATGACGCAAGGGATGCAGAGCCTCTCACACCAAATCATCTGCTGCTCCTGAGGTCAAAAAATGCTCTACCACCTGATGTGTTCCAGAAACATGATCTGTATGGACGTCGACGCTGGCGGCAGATTCAATACCTGGCAGACTTATTTTGGCGCAGGTGGGTGAAGGAATACCTACCTTCCTTACAACAGCGGCAGAAGTGGCTGAAAGAGACGAGAAATCTGGAGGAAGGTGACATCGTGCTGATTATCGACAATCTGCCGAGGAACAAGTGGTTGACGGGAAGAGTAATCGAAACCTATCCTGGGAAGGACAAGCTCGTCCGATCGGGGAAGCTGAAACATAGCACCGGTATCCTAGTCAGGCCTGTGCAGAAACTATGTCTTTTGGAAGAAGCAGATAGCGTATTGGTGAACCACAGCGACTAATTGGAGCATTCATTTCTTATGTGAGATAATTATATTGATGCACGGTGAATTAAACGTGCGAGGTGAGAGCCTAGCGCCGCCTCTTGTGAATTTTTGTGTCGCAATTTTCCTGATCCGTGACGAGCGTAAGATCCTGATCATCATGTTTCAGTTTTGGAAGAAGCAAAGAGCGTAAATTGGTGAACCGTGGAGAGCGATCTCAATTTAAATGGATCCACAGCGAAGAACGACTAAATTGGAGCATTAGTTTCTTATGTGAGATAATTATATTTGATGCACGATGAATTAAACGTGCGAGGTGAGAGCCTAGCGCCGCCTCTTGTGAATTTTTTATGTCGCGATTATCCTGATCCGTGACAAGCGAAAGATCCTGATCATCATATTCAAGTTAGACTGACGTCGACGCAAGACAGAACTCGTTTACAGCAACAAACTTGTTTAAGCGCAAGAAATTGATAAAAACAGTCCTCAGACTTTATACAAGACTATTTGCGGTAACATTGTGCCCTTGAGGTAAATCGGGCACGTTATATTTGAGGACAGTGGACTCTACTCTTGAAGAGTAATAAACATTTCAGCCTTGTTATAGACTATGTCATATTATGTTTATTAGTCAATACTTGAAGAAAGACTATAATGGACTTCAGAATACATGTATTCATTTCAGTATTGAACTGAGACTATTGCTGAAAGATTTTTTTTGTTCGAACGATATTCATACGTAATTTCTTACATGTTTTTTCCTAAGAGCAGGAGTTAAATATTTGACCACTACAAATGAGAATCATTTGTCATGATAACATGTTATTTGGTCAATGCATGAGCATACAAATATGTAGTGTCTAGTTCAAGTTGAAACTTTAAAGAACCGAATTGTGTTGATATTTGATGCATAGACCCAAAAGAGGATATTTGATATGAAGGGGATAGTTGAACTAAAGTTTTGTATACCGGAAGTAAATTGACAATTTACTCAAGATTGCGAATGATGAGAAAGTTTAATCACAGAAGCACCATTTTCCGAATTTGAAAATCATTTTTTGTGTGTAACCCTGTTGTACTTAGTGGTGGGCTACTGAATTTTGCTTGAAAACTCACAAAAAGGGGGTTTAGTTTCAAGAATCGAGTACTGAAATACACAGTTCTGAGTAGTTAGCAGCTCTAGTGCATAGAGGTACATGTAGAATCATTATGTTTGAGCTGATATATTTCGTATTTTCCTTTGGTAATTCACTAGATAACTCAAAGCGTGTAAGGAATGTCAAGGACTTTAACAATCCTTGTTATTGTTATTTGCTACAGAGTGTCAACAATTGTGTTGAGATTTAGTTAATGTGTACTCTATTAAGGCAACTGATCGTTTTGCCCAATGTTACTTTAATTGACCTGTCGGTATACATTTTTAGAAGACAAGTGTTTGTTGTGTATAGGCTATAAATTCACCCTAAAGGCATTTACTGTAATGTACTACATTGTGTAAATGAAATTAATGGAATGTGCTATGCAGAGTTGAGTGTAAATTCTGAATGTTTAGTTGTGTTTTATTAACAGAAAAGTTAGACAATTTGAATGGAAGTTGAAGTTATTTGGATAAATGCTTTGCTGTGGCTACGCATTTAAGGGGCCGGGATGTAAGATTTAGAAAGTTTTCTGTCATGACGTCGGTTCAGATTAACCATAATTTCATTTGGTCGTAAGAGGGCGTTTGTAGTTCGCCAGCCTAAAAGTCACGAAATTTGAAATGTTTTGTGGACAGTGATTCCATCAGTAATCCCCGACAATCGAGACAAGCCCAATGTTGTAAGTACTATAAAGCTGTTATTTGTATAAATCAATCTTTAATTGTTTGTATGAGGCCAAAAATGGCACAAGATATAAATCTAGTTTTCTGTAATTTTAAGATGAAAAGTACGTTAAAATGTTGTCTGTGCATGTAGCACCACATATAGACAAACGTAGGATAACGTGTGTGAATGCACAATTTGTGCATACATCAGTTTGTGTTGAGGATAATCTAGATTTGTGTGTAATGAGTGATGATAATTGACATGAAACAAAGAGTATGAATTGTTTTCCTTGGTTATAAAGAATGTCAAGGGTGTAGAAGCAAATAGGAATTTAGTTCAGGAATCAAGTAAAGAGTGTAAGATAGAGGCAGGAAATAAGGCTGGTCGAGGGTTTATTTGTGTATGACGTTAACCTACAAGATAGAGAGGTATGATTTGTAAGGGTTATATTTGTAAACAAAGGTAGAATTTGAGACAGTTCATTAGAATAAGATAAATGAGGCAGTTATACAGTTTGTGTTTGCACAAGTGAGCTTTACTCACATAGTTTATTCTTGAAGGTTTTCTTTACTCAGTTATGCATATTAAGGTCATTTATGGCAAGCTAGTTGTGCGATACAATAGATGTTTGTTTATTCATGTGAATTTGTACACATGCTTATGATTGCTTGTTTGTTTTATTGATATTACAGATGAACTGCATTTTATGCACGTATCTCAACTTGGATGTCGTCGTCCTTTCTTTAAGCCTACTGTTGGGGTCACTTCAGCAGAATTTAACGTCACAGCTTTATTAGTATCTTGTACCACGTAAAGAGAGAACAAAAATATTTACGCATCCCTGGTAGTGTAATCACATTCATGACGATGTAGGGGTATATACCAATGTCTAAAAATGGTGTGTGTTAACTTTGAAGTTTCCCTTTGTATATGCCCCTTTTTGTAGTTGTCCCCCCCCCCCCCCCCCCCCCCCCCCCCCCACTTGGAAGACGCTCCGCCGCCACTTGTTGTAATAATGCAATCCAGCTAAGGATGATTGATGTTGATATAAGTAAGAATGAGAATGCCAACTTTGAGACCTCGATCCTTAAAATCCAATGCATAATCTAATCATGCTAATTATACTCACTAATAGTGTTTAAATTTGGTTGTTGGGAGTTATGGGTTTATAAAGATGAACGAATCTTACATCAAATTTATTGTTTACATTAGGTAGGGTTATTTTTCAGCAAAAAAAGAAGGCAAACGGGTGACAAAAGGCCAAGTAGTTGATTTGACCAATAATATTATTTGATGTTAGCGCTCTGAGCCTTATGGGAATGGCGCCCTAAATGTTTATTGTATTGTATTGTATTGTATTGTATTTTCGTTGATGATGATCTAAGCGCAAAATCAACCTTGTCTTCTATTTACAATCACAGTATAAGACACAAACTAGGGAGCTTCATTTGCAGAAGAAGGAAACAGACAGCCAAAAAATGCTTTCAAACTAAAATCGGATACATTTTTGAATTACTTTTTAAGACAGCCATCAAATGCTTGGATCTGTCCCGATATCTTAAAGGAAACCTAAACCCAAAGAATAAGTGTAGGTATTCTGAAAAATGAGATGTATTCCTGCCCTTTGATATACAATATTCCTTTAAAAAATGTACAAGATATATATAAATGAAGATATTCCTGGCATGATGTGATGCCTTTCAGCATGATATGGGCGCAGTCATTTTCTTGAAAATGTGACGTACCTGTTGAAGTTGTACATGTATCACGCACCAAGCTTTGGTTGGAAAGAATATTTAAATCAATAACGAAACCTTTACTTTTCAATTAAAAAAAATAATAACTGAGATGATAGAAATTATATTAGGTGAAAAATAAATAATAGGGGCACTATTGTAACAAAATTCATTTATAAATACTACACTATAGCAGTTGACAAATCTATTTCATTTATGAGAAACCTTCACCCCAGAAGAACACTAACTTATTTATGCAATTTGCGTTCTGGCAATTATAGTACAAAGGATAATAGCAGGTGAATGAAATGCTTCATCACCACACACGTTTGGGAAAGAAGCATCCATAAATTTGAATACATTTACTTGATAAACGTCTTCGCATAGTACGTCACATTATCAAGAAAATGGCGATGCCCATGTCGTGCTGAGAAACTGTACTTTTTATTTTGCTTTATACCTCTCTCATACACTTTGGTTGGTCAGATTCTGTCCGTTTTGTATATTTGTTTTTCTTCAATATGACCTCCTCCCACACACAGCGTTATGTCTATACATTAATCGCGCGTTCCCCAAGATAACTATATTCAGGAGAGTAATGAGCAAAAAAAATATTGGGGGGAGAGAACAAAATATTGCATACCCCAAAGTAGCATTTTGCAGGGGCGGCGGAGCGTTTTCCAAAGTAGGAGGGGGGCACCAACAAAAAAGGGCACTTTCTGGAGAAAAAAGGGCGCACCTTCAAAGGGAAAACCCATTTTTAGACATTAATTTGGTTTATACCCCCAACATCGTCATGACTGTGATTACACTACCAGGGATGACATCAATATATTTTTCTTTTTTTTCGAAGGAAAAAGGCACCTATCAGATTTTAATAGGGGCATTTATCAGATGTTAAAAGGGGCGTTTTAAAAAGGGTAAGGGCTCATATGAGAAAGGAAAAGGGGCACCGGAAATACCGCTTCTGGTATAATGGGCAAAGGTGAGAAGAAGAAAAAAAACGAAAAATCATGTCATTTCAACAACATTTGTAAATCACTGGTATAAACGACGTTTGAATTTTATTTGGGGGTCAACTGCCCTCCCCCCCCCCCATTAGTATGCCAGTGTTTATATTCCCCCATAATATATAATCATGGACAGGGAGACAGCGCGACAGACAGACAGACACAGAGAGAAAGGGGCAGGTAGACAGGCAGACAGAGACAGTGGAATTAAATAGAGAGAAACACACAGGCAGCCCAACAGACACATACAAATAGGGGATTTAGCTCTAACCCAAGCTATAACTATAGCGCGAATCAAACAGAAGAGATAGAAGGCAAGAGTCAGACATAATTATAATACAAACACTCTAAAACGGAGAAAGACAACATTGTTGACATTCAGATACAAAGATATGCAGACAGACCAAAACACAGAGATACAAACAAAAAACGAGACAGACTCAATTCATCTGATCTTTATAGAGAGAGTGTTTGGATGAAAAACACAAGAAAGTAACTTACAAAGTAAACTAAAAATCATGAGTCTGTGAGAGAGCTCAGTGTACACCACATGAAACGAAGTTTAAACAGCTAGCTGTAAGAAGTGCAAACGTTAATCATTAAGTCTCCAATATTCATATTTGTTAAAGCTATAGTTTGTCGAGGATAGTTTCTTCTTTTATTCAGATTATTGTGTGCCATATGCTAAATCAAATTTTGCTTGTTTGCATGAACAATAATTATGAATAAAATGGTGCGAATTTAACGGCGTCGTTAACTCCAATCGCTTTAGGCAATGTATACCGTCACTTTAAAAAAAGATCAAGAAAAAAATACGTGTTACTCATTTGTATGCACCATTCAAAATACAACCATTGTCAGGAATCTATTTTCAAAAAAAGATAAGATTATCTGCTTCAACAAATTCCATCAAAAGCACCACAAACCGTCTTTTTCTCACTCAAACACGTCATAATTAATGAGAAAAAGTGGGAAATGAATTGCGATATTTTCATTGCCAAGAAAAGTCTCTTTGCTTGTGCTGAAAGAGTGGAAGGATTATTGTCACAATGAAACATAAATTCATCAGGAATTATACCATATTCCCTGAGCACATCACCTCAATCATGTAGCCCTAATCCTTAGTTTACGATTCCTATGAATGTTGTACCGCGAGCGGAACAGGTGCATTCTTCAAAGGAAATATTACAACTATATTTCTTTTCTGATACCCAGGGTATTAGTCTAGGAACAACTGAGCAGATTAACAAGTCGTGTACATGGTATAGGTGAAATAAAAACATTGCATAAACAGTTTACTTATTTTTACAAAGCTATCGTTATTATTTTCATAGACAATTAAATGAATCACTTCATAAAATTAAGTCTCAATTAAGGCGGGTGGTGAAAAACAAGAATTGATGTGTGCATTTGGCCTATAAGTTATCGCTGTAAATGTTAGCTAATTTCAATATAGCCCTACACCCTTTTGCATCCCAATATGCAAAATAAAAGGGGGAAAGCACATAAAACAAGCATACTCGAGTTCAAATCGGAATTTGAGGAGTTAAGAAAAGATAACAAAAAGGAATTTTCAGCATTGATTCCATACACAAGACCGAGTCGAGAGCAAGCCGAGACAGTTTACTTGAGCCAGCACATACCAGTCGTCACCATGCGGTCATCTCTCATTATTTTCAGTCGAGATTAGAACATGAAGGCTGCCAATAAAGCTATCATAATTTCGTTTGTTGGCCGCCAATGAATCAGGATAGATCATTGATCACAGACTGTAAACAAAAGTGTTCGTGATCCGTTTAGTTCTACCCGTCGCAGTCTTGAATTCATTTTTGCAAGTAAAGAAAAACAATGCATGATTTTCGTTGATGATGATCTAAGCGCAAAATCAACCTTGTCTTCTATTTACAATCACAGTTTAAAGGCCCACTGCACTACTTGTAGCTACTTGCGCCCTCTATATAACAAACAATGCCTAATCGGTGACCATTGGTCCCCCATGATCCTCTTTTTCTTATGTTAACTGAGAGCTGAGTTGATGAGATAACCACCTGTCCAGTGACCTTGCAGGGCAGTCTAATCCCTCCTGTAGACTACTGCAGATAAGCTTTAAGAAAAAAACTAGGGAGCTTCATTTGAAGAAGAAGAAAAAAGACAGCCAGAAAATGCTTTCAAACTAAAATCGGATACATGTGGGTTCGAACCCCGGCCGCGTTATACCAAAAGACGTTAAAAGACGAGAGTTGCTGCTACCTTGTTTGGCGTTCAACAATAAGGGATAGAGCAACGTCGATCTGGCGCCGGGCTCAAGATCAATATTATTGGGCAAAAAGAATTTCCATTTTCGGTTTAACTTAATAAAATTTGGAGTGGACTTTAAAAGAGTATTATTATTATTATTATTATTATTATTATTATTATTATTATTATTATTATTATTATTATTATTATAACGTTTCAATGACTTTTTAAGACAGCCTTCAAAGGCTTGGATCTGACCCGGCATCTTAAACTTAAATTTAAAAAAATATTTATCCTGATTATATGTTCTTTTAACTGACCATCAAATGACACAATCAAATGTTGGCATCCTTCCTGACTAACCGTCCGCCATTTTTTAAAACAATATTAGACCTTATTTTAGATATCACAATAATTAATAACAACATTTAATTGGAATGTCTGCTTTAAAGTCGTCGCCGTAGAAGTGGTGGTGGAAGAAAATCTAGTTGTATAACAGTATCAGCACGTATTAGCAGTAGGAATACCACTTTTTTCTCTGTTTGTTTGGTTTTATTTCTGCATCTGTCAACATAAAAATACGATATATACAAACTAGGTCTCTCGCTCTCTCTCTCTCTCTCTCTCTTTCTCTCTCTCTAAGTGCCATATCGTTTGACTTCGGCGATCATGCTGTTCCACAACCCTCGGCTCCTGGCCTTCTGTATTAGTACCACTCCCAGTTCTTTCACTCCTCTCTCTTCCAACAATTTCTGCAGACTGTCCATCCAAAGTATCCTCCTTCTTCCCCTACTCCTTCTTCCCACAAACT